TTTAAAACACAAGACTTCATTAGTGGGTCATCGAGTCCCGCATTTCGATCCCAGGTGAAAACTGGATATTAGAATACTGATTTTCAAGTCTTCTTGTCAAAATCCCATTATCCCATTTCGCTTTTTATTGTACCAAAGTTAAGTAAATAGCTAAACTGTTGTAGCGACTGCTATGTTTTTCCACGCCCACATTTTATTCGTCTGCGATTGGCTAATAAATCAATACTGCCTTTCTATAGGACAATTTAGCCATCGCAGTCGTTGTTTTGAATTTTTCGGTTTTGAACTTGCTTATTTGTTTCGTTAGTACAAATTTAGCAATTGGTCAAATTTTAAGCAATCACATACTTTAGTGCAAAATCAACTTTTCCCGCGGTTTCGCTGGGAGCCTATCTGTAGCTTTAAAAGAGGCGACTTTTTCACAAGCCGCGAGTAAAGTCCACTAAATTTCGCCTGTCAACGCAAACCTATGACTTTACTCACAACATTTCAAACGCACACACAGATACAGAATTTTGTAATACATATATACATATCTCTCTGTGTCAAAGCCAAGTTCAATCAACCAGGACTCTGTTGATTTCTCTAACACAACACACTTTCTGATCGATTGTATTCTTGCGTTATCTATTCTAACAGCAGACTTTCTCTAACATTGATTCCTGAACATTTCTCTCTAAAGAGAACTTTCTTTCGAACAATCAATTACAAATCAAAATACAGTAAAAGAGGAGCAACTTTTTTCCCCTTAATCTATACAAATTATTGTAATTTTTTTTCTTGTATGTTATTTCAATATATACTTGTTGATTCACATTTGGAGTTTCGTTGTTTTCTTGAATCATTAATAATACAAAATATACATGCGCAAAAGAACACGCGTCCATAACACGGTCACCCAACAAATAGAAAGAAAAAAAGATTGAATCGAAGAACTTAAATGCAGAAAGAAAAACAAGAATAATAAAAATGAATGAAATGAATGAATGAATGAATGAAAGCGATAAAGAAAGCAATGAAAGAAAAAGAAAGAATTAATTAAAAGAAATAGTTGAAAAACAAACTGAGAAGAGAAAAAGAGAAGCTGTTGAATATGAATAACAAAATTGGAAGACTAGAACAAAAGCAAAAAATATAGAAAAACAAATCTGAAAAATCGACTGCAAATCTTTCCATATATATAAATATTTACGAATGATACACAAACTCTTTACTGGTGGGATTTATTTGGTTTGGTTTATTTTGTTTTACGACATATCAACCTCAATGGGTTATTTAATGCCGACAACATTTTCAGGATAGATTCGTATGAATATAATATGTATTCTTTGGTTTAGATTGGTTTGGTTTATTTTATTTAACGGCATATCAACCTCAATGGGTTATTTAATGCCGACAATATTTTTAGGATAGATTCGTATGAATAGAATATGTATTCTTTGGTTTAGATTGGTTTGGTTTATTTTGTTTTACGGCATACCAACCTCAATGTGTTATTTAATGCCGACAATATTTTTAGGATAGATTCGTATGAATAGAATATGTATTCTTTGGTTTAGATTGGTTTGGTTTATTTTGTTTTACGGCATATCAACCTCAATAAGTTGTTTAATGCCGACAACATTTTTAGGATAGATTCGTATGAATAGAATATGTATTCTTTGGTTTAGATTGGTTTGGTTTATTTTGTTTTACGGCATACCAACCTCAATGTGTTATTTAATGCCGACAATATTTTTAGGATAGATTCGTATGAATAGAATATGTATTCTTTGGTTTAGATTGGTTTGGTTTATTTTGTTTTACGGCATATCAACCTCAATAAGTTGTTTACTGCCGACAACATTTTTTATTGCTGGTAATATTTTGTTTTGTCAAAAATCTGTTTCTAGTAATATTTCTCCTTCAAAATTCTATTGTTGGTAATAATTTTTCCAAAAAATGTATTGCTGGCAATAGTTAACTATTTGCCCATAGATGGAACCCTAACAGGTGCTACCACCCTGTGTCAGGGTAAACCTGGGAACACCGGCAATTAAAAGGTAATTCCACGCTTCTCAAAACTTCCTGATCAGAGGCCTTGATGCTGGATGTAGTTTATCGGCTTACCCAGGATGCAGATGTGTAACGTCTTACCCAGGACGATGTGACAGGTGCGATAGAATAGATTTTGTGTGTGGCACTGAAAAATGGCTTCCCCTTAAGCAACTCTTAAATTAATGGCACCCACTTTGGAGTTCCTCGGTTATCCGATATTGTGTATATGTGAGATGATGTTCGCGGTATAATGATCGTTGGTGAGATAATCTATTGGAATTAAGAAATGTAGATAATAGGGTTGATGTGAGAGATGTGTTGTTATTTTTTTCTTTTTTCTTTTTTTTTAATCCAGTGATGACAGTTGTATCGCTCAACATAAACAAAACGTGATGAAGGTGAGACATAAATTAAGACGATGACGCCTGCTAAATAAGAAAGACAAGGAATAATGAATATTTGTTTCTGATAGAAAATTAAGTTCGCTTCATGCTTATAGATTAAAGATACTTTCAAATATATCAACATGCGGTGAAAAGAGAATGAGGTTTGCTGCTGAGTGGACAAAGAAGAGGTTTTCGAACATAGCAGTTGAGGAATATTGGTTTACGTTCTTGGTCGGGACTCACAGAAATGTTAGCTTTTGTGTTTAGAATAAATAACGAGAGAAGACCACCCAGAAATCAAACATCCTCATGCCCACAGCGTTACCTAGTTTCTAGAATTTATTTTTAACTAGCAGTAGAGCCCGGCGTTGCCCGGGGATGTAACAGTAAGAGATAGATCAAGTATCGACCATCATAAAGACTGAAAAATAAAATTGACAAAGATTATTGTTTAAGGTTGACGGACACGCATGTCTTAATTAGTTTTTTTTTTTGTTGCTTTTTGTTTTTTACGAATTGGTCAAACCCAAACTCAAACAAAAACATTGTTTTCAATTATTATGAGTCTACCGATTGAACAGAATTCTATTATAAACAATTGTCTTGTAAATGGAATTTTTAAAGCATTCTGAATGTAAAAATAAAGAAAAAGTGTGCAAGACAATAAGAAACACTACCTTCCAAAAAAAGTGAAGTTTTGTTGAAATCGGTTGAAAAATGTAGGAAATCCGATCCAATATATAAACGAACACACACACACACACACACACACACACACACACACACACACACACACACACAACCTTTGTTTTATAATAAGTATTCAAGACATACGCGATCATGTCTCTCCAAAAAAAAACCTTTTCCTTCATAATCTATAAATAGCCATGACCCCCTGGGAAAGATAGTCGTCTGGTTTCCCGTTGCCTTTCTTCTTTTTTATGTGCAGTTTCTTTTCAGGACGTAGGCGATCATAGCTCTCCACTTCCTCCTGTCCCTTGTAGCTTTCAATAAGTTTCATGCCTCTGTCACCTCCCCCCAGATCACGTCCTGTCACCCACTTGCTTTAGTCCGCCAGGAATGTCCCTCGTTGTTTTCCCTTGTCTCTTTTTCCTTCTACTCGACTCGTGAGTATCAGATTCTCCAGGCCCTCTTTCCTCATTATGTTTCCTTTTTCCTTTTTATGTGCCATGGCCTTTCAGGACGTAGGTTATCATGGCTCTTCACCTCCTTCTATTCCTTGCAGCTCTCAACAAATTCATTCCCTCTGCTTCCTCCCCCAAACCACGTTCTGTCAGCCACTTGCTTAAGACCGCCAGGTATGTCACGCGTTGCGTTTCCTTGTTTCTCTTTCCCTCTATTCGACCCCTGAGTATCAGATTCTCCAAGCACTCCTTTCTCATTAGGTGTCACAAAAATGTCAGCTCCTTCTTCCTGATGTTAAGTATAAGCTTCCTCCTTGTTTGCATTCTCTCTAAAACCTCATCGTTTCTCACACGCTCGGTCCATGATATCCTTAGCATCCTTCTGTAGAACCACATCTCCGTCGCCTCGAGTCATTTCTTCATCTTTGAGGAGACCGTCCAACATTCGGTGCCGTGAAGGAGGACAGATGTCACGCAACAGCTCAATACTCATTTTTGTTACCAAATAAATCATCCTGTCCTGCATTATTCTGTTCAGCTTTTGGAATGCGTCCTTGACCATTAAAATACGTCTACGGATCTCAGTGTCGCACTTACCGTCCTCTGTCAAAACACTTCCCCAGATATTTAAACTTCCACACCAGCTTGATTTTAGTGTCCCCGAGCTGCAAATCGCATTTTGGGATCATCCTTTTATTGATGACCATGCATTCTGTCTTCTTCTAGTTTATTCTTAACCCTTTCTTCTCTCTCTCCATCACTACCTTCTGTAGAAGGTTTTGTACTTTCTTTTCCATGTCTGCTATCAGTACTGTGTCATCTGTGTATCTGATGTTGGTAAGATTGTGGCCGCCAATGATGAATCCCGGTAGGGTCTCCAATTCATTCAGAATCGCCTCGCTGTATAGTTTAAACAAGTCCGGTGAGAAGTCACATCCTTGTCTTACATCCCTTTCTATTTTTGTATAGTCGCTTGTATGTTTTTTGCTGCCAATATAGGTTCTTGATTATTCTAATATCTTTTCCGAATATATCAAGGTTGCTGAGCAGTTCCAACAGGTTATTGTGCCGTTTCGATTTTAAAGTAGCCTTTCTAGACAGCTATCTCTACTCTGTTATTTAACCCATAGTTAGGGAGAAAAGAGATGGACTCATGCATTTCCCAAGAGTATTAGTGCGGAAAGGAATGCAACAGTCAGAATTTGAACATGGCTCAACGATTCTACTACCTGCTCCTCGTTACTAGCGAGAGAGAAAAATGAACACACACACGAGCGCGCGTTTTCGTTTCTCTCCCTCTTACGCTCTTTTCTCTCTTTCTTATTTTCCTTTACTCTCTCTCTCTCTTTCTCTCTCTCTCTCTATCTCTCTCTCTCCCTCTCTCTCTCTCTCTCTCGCTCTGTCTTGTTCTTATTCTCCTTTGACTTACGACCCATATCACATTGAAACACAGGTTCACGTGCGATTACCGAAGTTAAGCAATGCCGAGCTTGGTGAGTATTTAGATGGATGACCGCTTGGGAATACCAGCTGCTGTAAGCTTCGGTGTGCGGATAGTGTAAATGATAACGGATCAAAATTTGAAATTGAAGAGCCGAGTTCCAATTCCAGTAGAGATCATTATGGTCACTTACACACAAATAACCTTAGAAACGGTATGAATCCACCACATCTCTCCCGAGTATGGGTTAATTAATAGAACTTGTGTTAGTTAATCATTATTATCTTCAAAAAATTATTAAATCTAAAAATATTTTCTGGCTTTAAATAACCTGCAAAAGGCTGGTAAACCGTTAAAAAATCAATCAATATTATCCTTTAATCACTCTCTCTCTCTCTTTTCCTCTCACTCTTTTCGGTGCGCACCGCATCAACACATTAATTCAAAAGATTTATGATAATAAGGATGACTGAGTGGGAAGTGTAATCCACCAGGAACTATGCAAACGAATAAGATTTTACTAGCAAAACCAGTCGATGCAATAGTGAATTAGAGAATAAAGCAAAATCTAAGAATGTTTAGAATTTCAAATGGATCAGCTAATTCATACCAGGTGTGTAAACAAAAAGAAAATATTAAATAATACAGATGACTGTATAGGCGCTGGAACAGGAGCCAAGAGTCTTGTAACCATCATAACGTCCCCATGGAATAGTCCTGAAGAGCCTTGTAATTACTGTACCTTTATTTGAAAACAAACCCAAAGAGACAAGTAGTCATTCTGAACTTGGAACAGTCCCATAATATTGTAACTACTGCCTTTTTTTACTTGCAACAATCCCATAGTGCCTTGTGATCGTTGTAACTTTTACGTGGAAAAATCCCGAAGAGCATTGTAATCGTTTTAATCCCTCTTTGGAAAAGTCCTCAAAAGGCTTGCAAATAGTTCAGAATCTATTAAAATCCCTGGAAAACCCGACTAGATGAGAGTATTTCTAAAATAAGGGCTAAATATTAAGGAGAAGGCTTGAGAATTAAGAATACTATCTGCCAACTGATTCGCAGTGAAAACTAATGGTGTGAAAACAATTTGTATAAACGTTACTAATAGATGATGACAGACTAGTTTATAAATACATGATATTCTGGTTTGATTTGGTTTGGCTTATTTTCTGGCACATCAACCTCAATGGGTTATTTAATACCGGCAAGATTTTTTAGGATAGGTTCGTATGATTAGAATATATATTCTTTGGAAGAAATCTGTTTCATTGACGTATTTTTGTTTGGTTTCGTTTTGGTTTGCTTTGTTTTACGGTATATCAACCTCAATGGGTCATTTAATGCCGATAACTTTTTTTTCAGGTAATATTTTTGTTTTGTGAAAATTTCTGGTAATAATATTTTACAAAGTATTTCTGGTATTAAAACCTATTTTTACACTTTCATAATGTTTTTACCCCCCAGTTTCGGGGTTAACTATTTGCCCATAGCTGGGACCCTAACAGGTGCTACCACCCCGGGTCAGGGTGGACCTGGGAACACCAGCAATTAAGAGGTGGTTCCACGTTCCTCCTGATCAGAGGCCTTGCTGTTGGACGTAGTTTATCGTCTTACCCAGGACGCGGATGTAGTTTATTGTCATACCCAGGACGGGACGTATTTTGTAAAGAGGGTTTTTATCGAGAGTCAAATGTATTCCTGTTAATATTTTTTTCCAAAATGTATTACTGATAATATTTTTTCAAAGATGTATTGCTGGTATTTTTACGATAAAAATCTATTTTTATACTTTGATAGTGTTTTGACCCCAGTTTAGGGGTTAACTATTTACCTATAGCTGGGATCCTAACAGGTGCTACCACTCCGGGTCAAGGTAGACCTGGGAACACCAGCAATTAAGAGGTGGTTCCACGTTCCTCAAAACCTCCCGATCAAAGGCCTTGCTGCCGGATGTAGTTTATCGTCATACCCAGGTCGAGATGTTATTCTGTCTATTTGCTTTATCGTTAATATAATTACTATCAATGCTACGAGGAAGCAAAAAGCAGAAGGAAGGTCAGTTTTCAATAATCTTTTAAAGGCTTACGGCCACATCACGTTGCAACATTGGTTCCCGTATGATTCAACGAAGTTAAGCAACGTCGAGCTTGGTCAGTACCCTGATTGGTAACCGCTTGGAGATAACAGATGCCGTAAGCTTGGATGTGCAGAGGAGTGTTCTAGTACGCATTGATTTTGTTATATTCACTTGCGCTTAACATAATTAACATTAGAACATATACAAATATTTGTATATGATCTAATGTTAATTATGTTTTATGAATATGTCCTGATGATGGTCTAAAATAGACCGAAACGTCCGACGTTGACATTATATTACCATTAATACAGCATAATTGCATATTAAGATTTTTGTTTGTTTTTTTTCTGTATATTTTTCTTCATACTGTCGGATCTATATCCATATATTTGCTTACATATAACTCTATGTATGAACAATAAAAAAATATTTTAACATCATAACAAAAAATTAATTTTAGCAGAACAAATAAAGTTCAAAATTGTCTCATGTGCATCAAAGCAATTGGATGTGTATGTGAGCATGTAGAGAAGCGCTTGACTTTTTGCTGAAATGTCTTTTAACCAAACTAAACTAAATGTGACATTTGAGATAACGATACATATTTTTATACATCAAGAACAGTATTGGGGAAATTGCATGAAAAAGTGAAAAGGATTTACTTGTAACGCTTTTCGTCTTCCAGAACTTCATCGGATTAAATTTGTTGTGTTGGTAGGACTACGCATGCGCACGACAGACAGGTGCCGGAAATTTTAGAATTTTTTATTTTTTATTTTTTAATCTATCCGAATTCATTTGGAGCCTCTTTTTTTTTTCTTTCCATCACTTTTGTAAGTAGGTATTCTACACTGTGGAAAAAAATTCTAAAATTCCCAGTATCTGTCTGTCGTGGGCATGCGTAGTCCTACGAACATAACAATTTTAGTCCGATGAAGTCCTGAAGGACAAAACTTGTCACAAATAAACTTTTTCCACTTTGTCATAGAATTTCCCAATTAAGAGGTGGTTCCACGCTCCTCAAAATCTCCAGATCAGAGGTCTTTGCTGCCTGATGTAGTTTATCGTCATAACCAGGACGCGGGAGATTTGTGACGTGTCTCATATTATTGGGTCGTATAAGCAACTCGCATTTCTTCATCAAATATTTACAATTTTTTCTTTTTACTTTTTCTTACAGGTGATTTTCAGTTCATGTAATTTGTATATGTGCGCCGAAAATATACCGCGTTTTGTAGTACTAGTAGTACTAGTAGTATACATCTGTTTATCTCGCGAAATAAATGCAGCGCTTCGTTTGGTCAAAATTCAATCCTTTCATAGTAAGACTGGAGTAACCTCTGGATACAGATACAGGCCTGGACAATCGTATATGGACGCCGTGCGCTGGTCAGACTACAGGAGTTGCTGGAAATTTGTTAGTGTTAACAGCCAACTCCACTCCAGGTCTTCAGTTTGGATTTACTTCCCTAGACCTTTCCGTGTTTGGATATGATCGAAAGGCAGCTAGCGTTTAAAATCAGTTGTGCCTTCCTTAGCTGTCGAGCTCCATCTACCAGAATCAGCTGGTTATGAGGCGCCAGTTGTTCGCCATCGCCTATTCTCCGGTTTGGAGATGGGCTTAGTTGTCAGAGGTTATTTGAGTTTTGTATTGTTTGCTAAACAAGAAAAGAAAAATAGAGTAAATGATCTGCCTCTCGCTTACCCCGACTCCCTTATGTCAAGGCATTTTTTCTTCAATGAGCTAATTTTATTCTAATACCGTATTCGTAAAAATATATACATTGTTTTGTTTTTTACCTTCCGTCTTCTCAACCTTACACTTTTAGGTATCATAATGAATGTTGGCTAATTTTTCAAGGTATCAATCTTTCTCAATTAAAATATCCGGAAAAAAAATTGAAATGCTTGTTTTCTTATCCTGTTGTAACTTGGAAAAAGTTGGTGGTGGTGGAAGAGATGATGATGATGATGATGATAAAAGAGATGATGATGATGATGATGATGATGATAAAAGAGATGATGATGATGATGATGATAAAAGAGATGGTGGTGATGATGATGATGATGATGATGATGATGATAAAAGAGATGATGATGATGATGATGAGAGAGATGATGATGATGATGATGATGATAAAAGAGATGATGAGGATGATGAGAGAGATGATGATGATGATGATGGAAGTGATGATGATGGAAGTGATAATGATGATGATGATGATGATGATGAGAAAAAATGATGATGATCATCATCATCATCATTTTTTCTCATCATCATCATGAAATAGAGAGTGTTAATCATTGACAAAGTTCCAGAGACAATGGAAATAAAAAAGGAGACTGATGCTTAACATCAAGAAGAGGCAGTTGAAATTTCTGGCGCATATAAGGAGAAAAGAGGACTTGGAAAATCTGATACACACAGGACTGATGGAGGGCAAGAGGGACAGAGGAAAACAACGCCTTACTTTTCTGGCGAGCTTGAGTGAATGGATGACGGATCAGGATTTAGGAGAGATAGCAATACATCAGAATATATAAAGAGCTACAAAGAACAGGAAATTGTAGAGAGCCATGATCGCCAACGTCCTGAAGGGACACGGCATATAGAAGAAGAATCATAACAAGGGAAATATAGTTTGCCAACTGATAAAAATTTGCTAATCAAATCTCAAGAGAGATTTAGTGATCAGTTTTTACGTATTTGGAAAAAGTACAATTCGATATTCGCCTGAGAAAATGGCCTTTTTCTTGCCAGAAACTATCTTTGGGAAGCACACTTCATCTTTTATATGTCATTGCTTTTGTTATCATTTTTTTTAGTTAAAATTCAACCAAACTACTTTTGCTCAATACTTTGACAGTTTTTAAACCTACAATATTTGTGAAACTCAGTCTACAGGAACTTCCATGTCAATAGGAAAGCACATTCTGTTTTTATGCTCTTTGATAACTATCAGAGTAGCTAACTTGGATGTTTCTGTCTGTGTGTATTGTAAAGAACCATAAAATT